ATTGTTGGGTTGATGAAAATAATACATCTTGAAAAGTATCACATCACATTTGATAAACAATGAAATGGGTGATAGTAGTTATATAATTGGCTTAAAAGTCCACGATGTTTCTCACCCCAATCAAAGACACTTTAAGCATGCATTTGACTTTTTTTATACTCTTGTAATGAAGTATTGTGAGGTTTAGTTTAAATTATTGTTTTGGAGAGTGTGGGTGTATTTGGGGTCAAAGGGCATGAAAAAATTATCTATGTGTTGTAAAATTTTTCACATAGTATTATTCTCTAGTTAGATACGGTTGGTTTTTCTCCAATTTTGAAGTTCTCACCTTATATTCTTGTGTTGATTGTTTTTTTCTTATTTTTCTATTAGTACGGTAATTTTCGGGGATAAAGACGATAATATTCTTCATGACGTTTTTTTCCATCGAGTCTTTGCTAGAGGTAATTGTGCACGGGAATTGACTAATATTGATGCAGGGGCGTATGATGATTATAAATGAGCATTTGTTAACATTAATGCAAGTGTGTATAAACATTGACTAATATTGATGCAGGGTGTGTGTGATGATTTTACACGAACATTGATTATGATAAAGGAATAACTAATGTTGTTTCGAAATATTGTTGGATTTGAAACCTTCTTCTAGAGCTTCATTGTCCAATTTAAAAAGCTACATTAGTGTACTGTGTGACAAAGTGAGTGTCATTTACCTATCGGGTAATCCTATACAACATCAATGCACAAAATATTGAGATGGACAAACACTTTGTATTGAAAAAGCTGTCCATGGCGAAATTCGTATCCTTCATGTTTCGTCCGACTATCAAATTGCTGATATTCTTAGCAAAGGCCTTCCGCGCATACTATTTGATGATTTTTAGAACAGTCTAAACATTTGTCAACCTAAGACAAGCAATGAAGTGAGTGACAGTAGTTATATAATGGACTTAAAGTCCATGATGTTCTAACACCTGAGTTAAAAACACTTTAACCTTGTAGTTGACTTTTCTTATACTCTTGTAGTAATGTGTTGTGAGATTTGATTTAAATTCTTGTTTTGGAGAGTGTATGTGTATTTGAAGTCAAGGAACATGTGAGAGTAGTCTATGTGTTATAACAATTTTCACATAGTGTTATTTTTTTTATCATTATATAACTGTTGTGATTTTGTTGATCTTCTTTATGATTTTTTTTTTCATCTTGGACTAGAGCTTCCAAAGCGAACAATATCTCAGATATTATAATTGATTTTAATGATGTTATCATAGTAAATATGAGGTTGATATATTTTTGTTCTTAAACAAAACATTTATGTTTCGGGTCAAAGATATTTTATATACATTATTTTCTCTTAACCTACCGAGACTCACCTTAAGGATAAAACTTGTGATGAATTAGAGCTTTCAAATTAGACAATATCTTGGGCACCAGAATTATCTCTAACAATGTTATCATAATAAACATGAGGTCAAAACACTCTTATTCTTAAATGAAATATTGACGTCCTGATGAGTTAAGAGAATAAGATGTATATAAATTATTCTTTATCTTAACTCCTAAGTGTTTGATGGATTAAAAGAAAAATTTGTATATAAAGTATTTTTTATCATAATTTCTAAGTGATATAAGACTCAAAAATATATTAGCCATGAATTTAATTTTTTTTTAATATTAAAAAAGAAAGATGAAAAGATAAAAATAAAATTAATAATAAATAAAATGTATCGTTCCAAGTAACGTTCAAAGTTGAAAGAGACTCATAATCCTCTTTTCTCTCCTTCTTTCAACTGCAACTTCCTTTTCACTCCATGTAAGAGCTTCAAGCATCGGAAATAAACGGTTTTATGTTTTTGTAGTAAATAAATCTTACTCATTTCTTAAATGACTTTATTATATTTTAAAAATTATCTATTTAAAAATTGTCGACAAACATTATCAAAATGAGTAATCATTTCCGACAAACAAATTTATTGTGGCCCGACATCTAGTACATTTAGCATTTATAAAGTTGTAGCTAGTACACCTACTAAATTATAACCAATGATAATACCGTAGATATTTATAAGTTTAAGTGAAATGAAAATAATACAACTACAATAAAACATTTAACAAAATATTACAATAATAAATCAAGAAAGTATGCATAATTTATTTAAATAAAATACAACATGTATACTGTAAAGGAGGAAAAAAATCAGAATTAGAGAATTGTGAGATCAAATCATTTTGTGTGAAGTGTAAAGTGGTTATAATCAACATATTTTTACTTTAAATCACACTAATTATATTACGTTACTTTTAAATAATTCATATTAATTTTCATAAGTTTTACTTAAATGATATTCTTTATTTATTGCTATATAATAAATTGCTCGTGCAACTCGAGAATTCAGATAAGATTTAAGATTGAAGTTATTATTTAAAAAATACAAAATAAAATATTATAAAAAGAAATCATTTTAAGGAAATTTACCGTTTGGCATTTCATATTTTATTCTTGTTTTATCGTTCTTATCGCTTTCATGTGTATCGCTTTCTACTTTCTACCAACTTGTTTATTTTATACTCAATTTACGTACACATCAATGTAAATTTATAATTCAAATTATTCTTTTGGAAGATAGATAGGTGGTATTCATGATGAAGATCTTAAATTTTTTGGACCGAATTAGGTTAATCTAATACTTAAGTTAATAAGTATTTAGATAATACATATTAAAGTGTGTATAATATTGTGTATAATTGAATAATCAAGTACATTGATTATATATTATTATGTATTTAAAGAAATTATTTAAAAACAAATTTCATATGTCTATATTTTCTTAAAAGTTTTTAAAAAATGGTAATCAACATATTATGTTAAAGACAAATATTTATGTTATTTGATCTTACTTATTTAATACATTATTTGAGATTTCAAACGAAAATATAAAATCTACCACAAATTTGTATGTTATTGTCTTTCAATTTTTATTGCTTCTTGTTTAAAGCTATATTTGGTAACTTAAGCTAAAAATATATAGTTTCAAGCGAGTTTTATTTGAGTTAAAAAGATAGTTTCAAGTAAGTTCTACACGCATGAGTGAAATGCTAATCACTCTAAATTGTTATGTGACAAATTTGAATTTGTTTGTCACGAATTTCATCTATTATACATATATAATAAAAATTATTAATGAAAATATAAAAATCAACTAAGAACAAGACTTAATTCCAACATAAATAATCACAAAAACAAAATGACTACATTCTATTAACATTGGCTGATTTTATGCAAATTTTCTTTACATAAAATGGCTCAAAAGAAGTTTATCTTCAATGTAAAACTTTCAATACATCATCAAGGAATAAGAATTATATTCATATACTAATTTTTCTTTTATTTCTTACCGAGTTTGTAATAATTTTCTCTTTTATTTTTTTTTCTCTCTTCTTTCCATCGAGGGATACCTTTATATAAACACAATAAACAGTATCATGATGCCACACAGCTATTAATAAAAGCATGTGACATCCGTAAAAATAACTATGACATGACATTTACATATGCATGTGAAGGAGACAAAATTGCTCTGACATGTTGGTTTTATGTTTGCATACATCTTTTTACATTAGTATTAAGAATTTAATGGTTTTTAGAATTTGCTCATTATTATTGTAAGTTATAATCCTATCCAAACACTAACTTTTTGGAATAATATTGTTTATAAACTAATTAAATTGACATGAAATTGAAGAACTTTGCAAAAAAAGCATTATGGTGACTTTATGCTATTAGCCCAAAATAAAAATGTTGATGGATGTGGAATAGAGATAAATAGAAAGGAAAATGAAAGAATTTCCTTGTAACAATTATTAGCAATTTTATATACTTTTTGTCTCTAATTTTTGGGTTACATTCTTCATCTTTTATTTTTGTTTCTTAAGAAAATGTGTTTCAAAATGAAGTTACAATTAATCTAAAAGAAACGTGTGACATTATTTTATGGTAGCTACATAAAGTTGTACCTCCAAATTTGGGCTCTGGCCCCATCATAAATGGTGCTGTCAAATCAAACAAATGTTAAATCGATGAAAGTGAAAACAAATTCCTTTGTAGCAAAAATGGTTTTGTGAAGGATATCAAAACATATTTTGTTTAATATTACAGTACGGGTATTCATGCCACGTTTGGGGACCGTACGAAATTTAGTAGATAAAAAACTTTTTCTTTTTATTATTTTTAATGCTAATTTAATTTATTTTAATATAAAATAATATTATTTTTCAGTCAATATTTAGTTTATTTAATAAAAGAATATAATATTAATAACGTAATCTTGATCCATAAAAGAATATTACAAATATTATGTACGATAGGTGTATAAATAAGAAGAGACAATTTAAGACCCTCCAAATAAAAAGTCAATATTAAAAGTTTTGCAATTTATTACTTTTCATTCATCTCACACACCCCCCTACTCTCAAAAAAGGTAGCTTTTTAATATGCGCATCACTTACTTCCAGCATCAATAATCAAATCAACAAGAAATAACAATAAAGTCAATGTGTGAGTTTGCAACAATGGAGGTTGATATCGGGTGAATCCAATAGAGATATGAAAATAAAGAAAACTTGGACTGAGTAGACCTGCAAGAATGATTGGATTCAAAACCTACATAGGTGAGATTATTAATCAATAGAGGAGAAAAATACTAATTCGTAGAGAACCCTAAACTTATAAATATATGACAATACTAACCTAGTTTAGACTTAGGGACTAATGAAAATCCTGTGGTAATTATGTTATAGACATTAATTAATTAATAGGGAGAATGACCTAATTGAAAAAAAAAAGTATTTTAGAAATGTAGTTAAAAATTACATAGTATTTAATCACGTGTAAAAAATGAGTTCATCTTTTATTATGTGGTCCTAGATATACATGCTTCAAGTATATATGAGGGGCAGGGTGGGTGAGTCATGGTGTGATGATTTTCAGAAGGACCAAGAACATGAACTACCTAACATGTTTTTTACTCTTGTTGTTGCCTGCACTGTCTTCCTCCCAGTATCTTGGGAACATCCTTCTAACTAATCGTAAGATATTCCCCAAACAAGAAGAAGCCGTTACCTCTTATGCTGTGATCTTTGATGCTGGTAGCACTGGAAGTCGTGTTCACGTCTTCCACTTTGACCAGAATTTAGATCTCCTTCACATTGGCAATGATCTCGAGTTTTACAAAAAGGTAGAGAGCATCATTTTGGCTTGCTACATAAACTCTGTTCATGCAAACTAATCATTCTTTTCTTCACTTCTTGTTGATTCGTTCTTGTGGTGTATGTAGGTCACACCCGGTTTGAGTTCTTACGCAGATGATCCTGAAAAAGCTGCAGAATCTTTGGTTCCACTTTTGGAGGCTGCTGAAAATGTTGTCCCTGAGGATCTGCATCCCAAGACACCCCTTAAGCTTGGGGTGGGTGTTTCTCTTCTCCATGTTGGACACTTTTGTTTGTATTTCAACATAATGTGTTTTCATTTTTTTTTTTTTTAATGGTGCAGGCAACGGCAGGTTTAAGGTTGTTGGAAGGGGATGCTGCAGAAAATATATTGACAGCGGTAACCACGAGCTTCATTTTCTCATGTTGTTAACTATAACCATTCAACTTCTTAGTTTTCATTTTCTTATCTTTTAGGTTAGGGATATGTTCAACAACAGAAGTACCCTGAACGTTCAATCAGACGCAGTAGCTATAATTGATGGAACCCAAGAAGGTTCATATCTATGGGTATGTCACAAGATTTCTCTTTGTTCCAAGCTTCATTCATTTGTTTCCATGTCTCTTTCTCCTTTTCTCATTAACAAAACATATCTTCAAATAAGTGCATGCAAGATGTTAAACAGATGGCAAAAAATTAACATTCTTTAATGCAATTGATGGGACTCACAAACCAATCCAACACTACCACCTTAGACTATGATATAGTAAGATTTAACAAGATCTATAACACCAATCAAATCGTCGCAACTCTCTTAAAATATAATTTTATCATACATCAACCAAATTTAGTGACATGTCAAAAAATTATTTATATGAGGCCAAAATCAACTTGTGCATTTTAAACGCCAAAAGAAAGTTGTGACAACTTGAAGATATTAAACCTTATAAACAAGTGTGAGCCATACTTTTATATTTAAATAAAAATTAAATTTGAGTAAGTTATATAAAAGAAGACCCTCTTAAAATTTTAAGTTGAAAATGGTAAACTTGTAGAAGTCATTAAAACTTTTAAAGCTGCAAGCAAATAGTTTACTTTCTTGAAAACTGACTTTATTCCGATATTTGCAAAAGCTCTTAAATAAATGATATTTTCTTACTCCATGAAATTCGTATTACCTCCAACGACCACACTACTTACTACAAACATGAAATGTATAATAATAATAATAAAAAAATCCACTAGCATCATTAATTTTATCTGTGGTATGCGCTAATTAAGTGTATTATAAATAGAAATGGACAATTAAAAAAATATATGTTTGATTGGGGTGGTTGTATTTTTTTCTTTATTTTTGAATGAATAAAATATCATTATTTATCTAATAATTGAGGTATTACATCATTGCTAATGTAAAATTTACGTAAATAATTAAAACATAATATATATATATATATATATTAAAAAAATGTATGTTTGATTGGGGTTGTTGGATTTTTTTTTCTTTATTTTTGAATGAATAAAATATCATTATTTATCTAATAATTGAGGTATTACATCATTGCTAATGGAAAATTTACGTAAATAATTAAAACATAATATATATTTAAAAGGACGAGACATATAAGACAGCATACATCATTCATCCACTCCTTTCGCAACATGTCTTCAAATAATATTTTTAAAAGTCGTGATTTTTACATATAAAATGTTTTTATTTAACCAAAATTATATTCGATGTCATTGGGTTGATCAAAGACATTTGACCTTAAAGTTAACTTCAGTTCAATGAAAAATTTGATGACCTTATCGACTTGGTTCAGGTAGATTTTTTATTATTATTATTATTTATCATTCAATTTTTTTTTCATAATTCAATATAATAAATTATATTATCTATTAGATTAAAAAATAAAAAATAAAAAATAAACTATCTTATACTTTATTATTTATGATTTTTTGTATGTTAATTTTTGTTCATGCATTTGTTGTGTAATTAAAACCTTTATTTTAGATATCAATTACTTTTAAAAAAATGATATTTTGAAATTTGTACTATTTAATTTTATTTGTGATTTCATATATTATTAATTTATCATGATAAAATATTTAAATGCAAGTTAAATCTAAGTTATATAAATATAAACAATACATTGTTATTTTTTAATATAAAGGACTCATTAATTCAATGTGTCTATATGGGTTCAATTTTGATAACACAGATATGAAATTTTTTAGTGGTGTAACCTTGCAACCGTTATGAATTGTAGTTGGCAATTAACTATCTATTGGGGAGATTGGGGAAAAAGTTTAGTAAGACAGTGGGAGTAGTTGATCTTGGAGGTGGATCAGTTCAAATGGCCTATGCTGTCTCAAGGAACACTGCAAAAAATGCTCCAGTAGCACCTGATGGAGAGGATCCATACATAAAGAAGCTATTTGTCAAGGGCAAAAAATATGATCTCTATGTTCACAGGTTTTACTTCTAATTCTCCATACACACATGGGATAAGTTTAGATTTCCATCATATTTTGTTTTGAACATCTTAACTTTTCTCAGTTACTTGCACTTTGGTAAAGAAGCATCTCGTGCTGAGATTTTGAAGATCACCAATGGTGCAGCTAACCCTTGCATTTTGGCTGGATATGATGGTAAACATATTGCTTATTTGTTTTTAGCACTCACTCCTTGCGGTTAAGATAAATTCCTCTTTAATATATGCTGTTTAAAACTTATTTCTGTAAACTAATTTTCAAACTTATTTATTTTTTCTTATATGCTCTGTTAATAAATACTTTTAAAAAATATGTAAACATGACATGATTATTGAAGAACACGAGATGCTTGTAACAAGTCACTTTTATTGTTTGAAAAGGGACCTACACATATTCAGGAGTGGAGTATGCAGTGTACCCTCCAATTTCAGGGTCCAGCTATGACGCATGCAGAGACATAGTCCTTGAGGCTCTCAAAGTGAAGGAGCCATGTTCCCACCCTAACTGCACTTTTGGTGGGGTATGGGACGGTGGAAGAGGAAGTGGACAGAAAACTATCTATGCTACTTCATCTTTCTATTACCTGGCCTCAGATGTATATACATTATTTTAGTCAATCATTGCATAAGTTTATGATTTTGATTCTCTTCCTACGCTAATAGTAACACCATTGTTTGTTCTATAGGTTGGTATCATCGCTGCAAACGCACCCAGTGGCATAGCTCGTCCTGTGGATTTTGAGAGTGTAGCTAAGAAATCTTGCGGACTAACATTTGAAGATGCCAAAATCGCTTATCCTCTTCTTACTGAAGAAAGAATTCCATGGGTATGCATGGATAGTGTATACCAGTATACGTTGCTTGTTGATGGATTTGGTAGGTTTGCAGTATGATGAAAGTGAGGTTGATAAATGTTGGTAATCATTTATTAATATTGCTTATAATTGCTTGTGTACATTTGTTTCCAGGTCTAGATCCTTTTCAAGAGATTACAGTGGCAATCGAAATTGAATATGAAGATGCTGCTGTGGAAACAGCATGGCCTCTTGGCACAGCCATTGAAGCCATATCAGCATTGCCTAAATTTGATCGGTTTATGTATTTCATGTAACCTTCCATGGAAGCCATAGCTAGCTTTTGTCAAGGCTAATGGTTTATTACTAGCTATAACTAAATAAAACTTTCCACTTTTTTTTTTTTCCTGACTCCGTTGCACATATATCATTTGCTAACATATAAAAAAAAAAATAGTTTAAATTGTAATTTTGATCTTTTCTCTCTTTAATGAATAGGGTAAACATGAATAAGTAGAATAGTAGTGAAATATGCGTTAATAAAAATAAGAAAAAAAATGAAAACTAAGGAAAAAAAACACAACGTAAAAGAGTCGTATTACTGGAAAAATTGTAGTTTACAAGTTATAAATATATATATATATATATATATATATATATATATATATATATATATAGAGAGAGAGAGAGAGAGAGAGAGAGAGAGAGAGAGAAAAAAAGTAACAAAAGTGCAAGTTTAGTAAAAAAAATTGAAAATAAAGTTGCTGATAAAAAAAATCGTAAATTCGAAAACCAAATATTAATGACCAAACACTATTGGCCGGATTGAAGATGGTGGTAAAAAGTCACTAGTGGAGGACCCTTTAACCTGAGAATGGATGTTTACAAATAGAATTTTTTAGGGAAGAAGGTCAAAGTTTTGATCCGTTAGATTGTTGAAGACTAGTGCTGATGGGAGAAGTTTATGATATTTTAGTTAAGTTCATAGTAAATAATGTGATAATTTATTTTTATGTGTTTCATTTATTTGTGGAAGACTTGATGAGAGACTATTTAGATGACATATATTGATTATCATAGGATAAAAAGATAGACTTAGAATGAAGTAACTTTAAATAATTCATTAGTTAATAGTGATTGAATTTCACATGTTATAGAGATTAAAACTTGACATTTGAATTCTGAAGAATAAAAAAAAACAATCATTTGTTTCTTTAAACACTAAGAGAAGAGAGAAATTTCGAGATATTTATTTCTTTAAATATCAAGAGATGAGGGAAATTTGGAGATATACAATGTACTTAGTAACACGTTGGGATAGTCTAGGTATTCATCCTAATCAAAATTGTTAAAGACTTTGAGATATAAATCATTATTAGCATGGATGAATATACCTTTTTTAAGTTTTGTTTAAGGTAACATAGAGTTCAAAGTGAGGTTTGATGGTGTGCAATAATAGGGATAGTTACGTAACTCAATATTTGCACTCGGTGAGAATATTAATATGTTGCGATAGTTACGTCTAACATGTTTGGATAATTACATTATTTTGCTCTAATCTTTCGCTAAGCTAGTAAACTGACATATGTTATATTTTAAGGTGATTTGTGTGTTGAATATTTGGTAAGCGTACCAAAATTATCAATCGCAGTATAATATTTTGATTAAATAAAAGTCGATCCCACGAGAAACGGTTTCAATGAAAATTCCAAATCATATGTTTACTAAGTATATTGAAACAAAATTGGGTTTTTATAAAGATTTGAATTGAAATTAAATGGTAAAGAACGATAAATGATATTTAGAAAAGATCAAATTAAAAAACTTAGGATGAGTTTCCTTCCTTTTTCCCTTTTTTGCATAATGACTATGTCAAATTAAGAATATCAATTAACCTAACAATGTTGATGTCGCCTACTCAAATCATTCACTTTGATTCCTCTCATGTGAAATTCATAAGAAAACCTGATAAATGTCGATTTCTCACGTAGTTAAAAGATTTTCCAGCATTAGGTTTAGGGTGTTAAGTACTTGATACATTCATTCCATTCTTGGCAATTAACGTAACAAATATTCTTACCTGATTTAGGGTTTCAAGATATATTTTCAATCATATCTCAAATATCAAGAATAAATCATTCCAAAACACAAAAGATAAGAATAACAACATCAAAGCATAGATTAATATCTAAAAATATCACCATGATACAAAAGAGTTCCAAGGAAGTGTGCACAATCCTAAGATAATGAAGTTAGTCACTCATGGTGACCATTACAATGCTCTAAATGAGGAAGAATTGAAGAATCCTTGAAAAACATAACATCAGTCGCTCCTTTTCTCCAAAAACCTAAAATTCTATCTCAAAATGTATTTTATCTTTTTACAGAAAATTTTGACCGGGTTTCGCATCATTCATTCACTCAAGCGTTCTTCTTTCTTTTAATTTTTCTTTAATTACTTCACAATTATGATTTTTGCTATTGTATCCAGGTATTATGCAAATTCATCATACATTAAGAGAAAAATATATTAGAATCACTATAATTTAAGTGGTTATATCATAATTAAGAGCATAGTTACATCAACTTTTACCACTTAATATTATGTTAGCTATAACTTTTTGCATTAGCATGTAGTTAAATGTGGTGCGAAGTTAAGTGTAGCATGAAACTAAGTGTAAAGTGAAACTACACTTATGTAATTATATGTAAAATGAAGTCAAATGTAATGCATTAATTAGTTTGTCAACTTGTAGTAACTATGTTTTTGTAAGTATTTAATATTTAAATTTGAGGTATTTGTTGTTTACATGAGCTAAAGTATGTCTCTAGATAAGTTATGTTCCATGCTCATATATGTGGACTTATTTTCCAATAAGTCAACTAAGGAATCTGGATAATAAGGTTGAACCCATGATCATCTTCTAAAATAATTCTATCATGTGAGATTTTTTGTTATTAATGATGTGTTTAAGATTAATATTATATTACTTATAAAGATGATCATTAGTAACTTTGATGTAATTTGGAATATTTTCATTAAGTTTTATGGTAGATATCATATGTTTTTAAAAAAATATTATAATAATAATAAGTGCCATACGGTTAATCAATAAATTTAAACACATATAATTATCTCTTTAAATTTACGGAATTAAATTTTATTAAAAAGATCCGTTTAAAATAAAACTCTTGTATTTAGTATAAGAAAAGAAAAAGATATCTTTTATAAAATAAATTGATAGTATTTATAGAACTAAATTATACTTATTTTAATATTAATATTTATTCTTTAAATATTAAATATAATATTGTATAAAAAAAATAATTATACATGATTAATTGAAAAAATATATCAATTAAACCTAATAAGTATAATAAATACTAATATTAAAAAGTAGGTATTAAGTTTATTTAATAAAATATCAAATAATAATTTTAAGTTTTATGAAATTTAATAAACTCAATCTACTTAATAAAAACTTGAAATTAACAATTGAATTATTAAATTTTAACATATATATATATATATATATATATATATATATATTATAAAATATGAAATAGTTGTACTAAAAAAAACTTACATTTATTCCTTTTACCTAAAAAAACTTATGTTGAAATTTTATTTACGACGACGTGACAAATAAAAAGGTGCAAAATAAGATGAAAATATTATGAAGAAAGAGAAATAACGAGAAAAAGAGAAGAAAAATAATATTTAAAAACCCATTAAAATTCAGAAACTATAGAAAACTTTTTAATTCATAAAACTAAAGAAACCAAATTTAAATAACAGTACACAAATTTCCCTTTTCTGATGATGCATTACGGGAAATTATGAGGCATGGCCTTTTCTGATAAATGCAATATGTGTGAGCCCCACATCTTTCGATTCAATTAATTCTCACCCTTTATCTCAATCATGTGCGTGTGACAAAAGAAAAGAAAAGAAAAGAAAAAACAGTATTTAATCATAGGGAATATTTACAATTCAAATGTAAGTTCAACCCTAATCTATGATGATATTTTGTGTAATGATCTCATTGATATTTAAAAAAAATATGATTTAGTTTTTTAAAATGTTATTTTTCTAAAAATATATATAAATTAAGTAATCTTACAAAAAAATCATCCATTTATACTAAGTTTCATGAAGTAATATGAACGTATTCATTTCTTTGTTAAGTAGAAAGCATAAAAAAATGTGATAAGAAAAATATAATCGAAAGTGATAGTTCTTAAAGTTAATATTTTTAGTGATAATTCTTAAAGTTAATATATTTTTTTTAATGCAATTATTCTCCAATTTATTTGAGTCCCATAAACTATGTTGAGAGTTAAACATAATATTGAAGAAAATTTAGAATGCAAGAAAATACAAATAGCGTTTTTTTATGGTCGAAGGGAAAACAAAAATAAAGGAAGTTTTACCTTCTATAATTTTTTACATTTTCTGTTGAAAATTTAAATGTTAGAGAATTTAAAAAAAGAAAAAAGAAAAAGCTTTTATATCATATGTTTTTATAATTGAATTTTGTATATGAATAATAAATATAATCAAGTAAATAAATTTAAAATACATATTTAAATAATATTTTAAAAAAATATATTATTTATGAGATTTGACAGATAAGAAGATCAAAGAAAATGGTACTTTTTTAGTTTGAAAACAAATGGAATGATTTTCAGAAAGATGAAACACGTGACACTAAACGTTAAATTTTGCCAGTATGGCACACATTACTCTAAAACTGTGCCAAAATTTTAAAGTAGTCACATTAATAACAATAAAAAATAGATTAAATTTAATAATATGAAGAACTAAAATATTGATGGACGTTGAAACATTAAAATACTTCTTCAGTTTACCAATAACAAATTACCTTGAAACTCTTATAATTTTAAAGAATAAATTAACTATTTTTTACTTTAATTTTCTTCTTAAAATGAAAATAACATGTCAGAGAAATTTATCTTATATTAATTATTAAAATATTCTTTTCAAAGAATTTCATTTTTTCATTTTTGTTTCAATCGTATTTTTAAATTCTTAAAATTTAAAGTGTAAAAAACTCACATTAAATATGAAATTTAAATACAAATTAATTTCCATGCACTAAAGAAAAATTGCCAAATATAGAATAAAAATAACTTCTTTTAGACAAATGCTGACTAAAAGCTACATTGTCCTCTATATACATGCTGATTCAGTATTGGTGGTTCAGAGTTATTTTTTGAGAATGGGGTTTTCATCTCTCATTAGTGTTCTCCTCTTGCTATTGCCTGCACTGTCTTCCTCCCAGTATCTTGGGAACATCCTTCTAACTAATCGTAAGATATTCCCCATACAAGAAGAAGCCGTTACCTCTTACGCTGTGATTATTGATGCTGGTAGCACTGGGAGTCGTGTACATGTCTTCCATTTTGACCAGAGCTTAGATCTACTTCGCATTGGCAATGATCTTGAGTTCAGTGGAAAGGTGCCATGCTTATGCCTTTGCTAATTTTATTTCATAAATTATACTCATGTGAATTATAATTATTCTTCAATGTTTGCACTTGTTATTTTGTCACATTATTTCGAAAATAAACACGATCTGTGTCTGTCAAGACTACAGTCGCACATGTTGATGTCATTGTTGAAGTTATGGTTTGAGTTCTTACAAACTTTATTATTGTAGGTCACACCCGGTTTGAGTTCTTATGCCGATGTTCCCAAAAAAGCAGCAGAATCACTGATTCCACTCTTGGATGCAGCTGAAAATGTTGTCCCTGAGGATCTACACCCAAAGACACCCCTTAAGCTTGGGGTTGGTGTTTCTCTTCCCTAACTTTGTCACTTAATTGTCACAGTGTGTTCATTTCTATGTAGGTATATTGTTTGACAGTATTATATGCACCACCTATTTTTGTCAAACAAATTATCTTTTTTGGGTGGTATTTGAAAGGTTTTAGCATGTGTTTGATTTAGTTTTTTTCGAGTTTTATGTTATGTTTTGTATCTAAAAAATGAAAATTATAAAAAAAAAAAAAGTAGTTTTTTTCTTCTCAAACTTATTTCCAAGTTTTGTATTATGTGAGTGCAGGCAACAGCGGGTTTAAGGCTGTTGGAAGGGGATGCTGCTGAAAATATACTGCAAGCGGTAACTATGAGCTTCATTTTCTCATGCTCTCAACTAACATTTCCATGTCTAAAGTTTTAATTTTTCTTATCTTTTAGGTCAGGGATATGTTCAAGAACAGGAGTACTCTGAACGTTCAGGCAGATGCAGCAACCATTATTGATGGGACCCAAGAAGGGTCATATCTTTGGGTAGGACACTAATTATGCTCCCAACTTTATCTCTTATAATTTAACAAAAAAACAAATATATTAAAAATGTAAAAAGGGTTATTAACATATGCCAAAGTAAATTGATAGGACTCTCACACCAATAGTCCTAAAGTTGATATAAAAAGTTAAGTAAGCACAACCATCGCATTACTTCAGAACAAATCAAATTAGAGATCCTCTAGATCTGTGGTATGGAAGCATTAATGAATCAATTAATCTCTTATTGAGGTGTTATAATTGCATAATGATTAATACATGGGACCCTTGCAGTATTTGTTAATAATTAGTTTTACCTTGCAACGGTATGAATTGTAGTTGACAGTTAACTATCTAGTGGGGAAGTTGGGAAAAAAGTTTAGTAAGACAGTGGGAGTAGTTGATCTTGGAGGTGGATCAGTTCAAATGACATATGCTGTCTCAAGGAACACAGCAAAAAATGCACCAAAGGTACCCGATGGAGAAGATCCATACATAAAGAAGATGTCTGTCAAGGGAAAAAAATATGATCTCTATGTTCACAGGTTTCTTTTCTGATTCTTGATCACACATTCACATAGGAAAAGTTTCGATTTTACCTAATTTTTTTCTGAAAATCACTAACTACATAATGAACTCATTATTTGCATCTTTGTCTCAGTTACTTGCGTTTTGGTAGAGAAGCATTTCGTGCTGAGACTTTGAAGGTCACTTATGGATCTGCTAACCCTTGCATCTTAGCTGGGTTTAATGGTAACATAATGCTTCTTCATGAAACATAACCCTTTCCTTACTATATAGAGCATGTCATGAACCAGTGTTTTCTTTTTGTTCTTTAAAGGGACCTACACATATTCAGGAGCGGAGTATGAAGTATACCCTCCAATTTCAGGGCCCAGCTATGAAGCATGCAGAGAGCTAGTCCTTGAGACTCTCAAAGTGAATGAGCCATGTTCGCATCCCAATTGCACTTTTGGTGGTATATGGGATGGGGGAAGAGGAAGTGGACAGAAAACTATCTATGCTACTTCATCATTCTTTTACCTGTCCCAAGATGTATAAATATATCTATATCAATATAATAATTTTCTAATCATGCATATAAATTATAATATTAACCTGTTTCTGAAGTCTAATGAGTTACTTTTTACTCTATATAGGTTGGTATGTTTGATGCAAAAGCACCCAATGCCAGAGTTCGTCCTGCAGATTTTGAGAGTGCAGCTAAGAAATCTTGTGGACTAACATTTGAAGATGCCAAAACCGCTTATCCTCTTCTTTCAAACGCAAGAATTCCGTATGTGTGTTTGGATTTAACATACATGTATTCTTTGCTGGTTAATGGATTTGGTAAGTCTGCATTATTTCATCATTTTTTTTATCATATAATACATTCTTATTTTTCCTCCTAAATTAATTTCTTTGATTTGTTCCCAGGCCTGGAGCCTCTGCAAGAGATCACAGTGGCAAATAAAATTCTATACGAGGATGCTTTAGTGGAAACAGCATGGCCTCTTGGCACTGCCATAGAAGCCATATCAGCATTGCCTAAATTTGAAAGGTTTATGTATTTTATGTAAGCTTCCAAGGAAGTTACCATACTTCAGAGCTGATATCAACTTTATCAGAAATAAATTAAACTTTCCACTTTCGTTTTTGAGTTATTATTATTATAATATAAAAATATGGTACCACAAGTGAAACCAGTGAAAAAACCATTTAAAATACTCGTGTTATTTTAGGTTGTCTTGTTTGTTTGTGTTATATATTTATTATATATCTGTTTAGGTTATATAATATATTTCTTTTTTACTTGGTGATAAGGTGGAAGTGGGAGAAATGCCTAAATCATGCAATCAAATCATCCTAATTCCTTGTTTCTTGACCATACCAACTTTAATTATATAATTACAAATTTATCTAAATAATATAATTTATTATAAAATATTTTATATTTTTCTGCGAAATGGAATCAACTGGCAAAAATTTTATATTCTTAACATAAACCTAACTGTACCAATAAATGGACTATGCTTCAAGATTTTTTACCAGTTACAAAGTGAATCTCAACATTAAATAGTATTAATTTCATTCAGTAGTTAAAATAGCGTCTAGAAATAAAAGTTGTAAAAACTATTAACAATATAAAATATTAAATTAAATTGTTGATTTTAAATGATAATAATAATAATAATAAATAATTAAATTAAAATTAAATATTTATTTAATTATAAAATTAATTATATAATATTTATTTAATATCATATATAATAAAATAAAATAAATTTATAAACATAATAATAAATAATTATTTATTTAAATAAAAATAATTTTATAAATATTAATTTTTTATTATATATATATATATATATGAGTAGAAGATAAATATAAATATTATATTAGAAATTTTATAAATATTTTTATTGAATAAAATAATTTGTTTTTATTTCTTTGTAACAATCAGAGGTCAAACAGGGATGTTTGTGGTGATTTTATTTCATCACTTCTTCACTTCATATTTTTGTCTTTCTATAATTTTATAATATTTTTCTTTTTAATTTTCATATTTTTTCAAATATTTATTTCATTGTTTTTATATATTATTATAATATTATGTGTATTGTTTATTATTAATTAGTTATTTTAATATTTATAATATTTAATTTTTATATTAAAATATAAAAAATATTTAATTTTAAATATTTACAAAAAAATTATATATTTATTTTTTGAGAGAAAAAATATAAATAATAAAATAAATTTTATTTTATTAGATTTAAATGCAATAAATTAAATTTAAAATATTATTAAATAACTTATAATATAAATTGTATAATAATCAATAATTTTTATACTATATAAATATCGTTATATATAATTAAAATATATTTAATTTTTATTTATGTATATATATATATATATAATCATATTAAATATACATAAATACTTTATAATTTTTAATAATCCATAATATTTTTATAGGGAGATGTTATAATAATTACTTAAAAATAAAATTATTATTAATTTATTATCAATCCACTGCTTACAAATTATCAAAAGTTGGTTAAATAATTATTTTATAATTTTACGTATTTTTCTTAAATATTAAAACATTTACATAATAAAATAATTTATTTCTAAACAACTTTTCAAACCAACTACTTTATGGAATCAGTTTAACTCTAACACTGGAAGAATTGTCTCTGCATTCAAAATATAATAAAAGAAAATAAATAAAATAGTTTATTTAATCCTTTAAAATATACAAAAGTTTTAATTTCATATTGAAATTTGAATAATTAAAATAAAAATACTAAAAATAGATTTTATAATTAATAATATTTTTCATATAAATCCTTACATGCTATTATGAAAAAATAATTTAATCTTTTTATGTAAAAACTAAATTATATATTTAAGTATCTATCTAAAACAAAAGTAATAAAAATATAAAAATTATTTTTAAACATTATTTATTTATTAATAATTCAAGATTAATTAATAAATGCTATATAGTTTAAAACAAATTTAAAAATTTAACCTAAAAGAAAAAGAAAAAAATGTGATATCATATCACATATTTAAACCTATCCCTTGAAACTCACCAAGCCTAAAAGCACGAACATTCCTATTATTAAAACATTTATAAGATATCATATAAACTACAATGCTTCAATTTACTTTATTGATATGGATGAAATATCTAAATCTATAAATATAATAATTTTGTCTTATGGAATTAATTTTTTAAACAATATATTTAAAATATAAAATTATTTGAATTGAATTTTTTAGATTTATTTATCTAATTAAACTTATTTATTATTCATACGCAAAAATTAATAATGTAAAATAAATTTCTCTCATATCAATTTCTTAAATAATATATTTAAAACAAAAAAATCAATTAAATAAAATCTTTTTAGATTTATCTACCAACTATTAGACATATGTTTATTATTTATACATAAAATTCAATAATGGAAAATAAATTTATCTATGTAATACAAGTATTTTTTTTTTTCTTTTCTCATTTATTTTTTATTTTTTTCTTCATTTTATCTTTTTTTTCTCTGTCCTAGTATTTTCTCTCTCTGTTCTTCTGTCACTCATTTTATTCTTTTAAATAAAAATATAAAATTAAAATTTGATAAAAAGAATTCATTAAATAAAAAATAAATTTAACTTATACATATTTGATATAATTTAATTAGATGAATAATTTATTTATTATGATAAAATAATTTAAAATTAATTATTTATGTTATTGTAAATAAAATTATTTACTGTTATAATATATAAAATTATTTATTACCATTATAATTTTAAATATTTTGTTGATGTTTTTTAGTTTCAATTTTAAAAACTTTCTATATATTTTTTACTTAATAGACATGTATTTTCTTAATAATTATAACATGATAATTTGTAATACCTCAAATTTATAATATAATATTTTTTTAAATATAATATATTAAATTATAACATTTTTAGATAAATAACATTTTTTATTTTTAAAAAATATTAAAAACTCATTTATCAAAATTTAATTTAATAGTTTTAATTAAAAGAATAAGATAAATGACAGAAAAATAAACTTGGAAAAGAGAAAAAAAAAGTGGATAGAAAAAAAATATATAGAAGAAGTAAATGAAGAGTAAACAAAGTAAAAAAAACTAAATGAAGAGAGAACAAACTATTATATTAGAGGAATTTATTTTCTATTCCTGAATTTTGTGTATAACCATAAACTGGTTTAGTTGGATAAATAATATTTAAGTAATTTTTTAAAATATATTATTTAAAAAATTGATTCCTTTGATATCATAGTTTTGAATAATGTTAATTAAATATTCAAAATTTTAAATTATTTATATCTAATGAAAATTTAAGAAATATATAGATTTTTTTTTCTTAAAACAAAAAATAAAATTATTTTATTGATTATTTTAAAATATAATTAGATTAATGATGTTATTCTCATATATAAATAATAAAAATATTTTATAATATTAATAATAATTCATATTTATATTTTTATCATTTTTAAGAAATATAATTTAAAATTTGCATTTGCATTATTGTAGTTTTGTATCTATTATGTATTATGAATTCTTATATTTATCATGAATTTTTTATTATTTTAATATATATATATATATATATATATATATATATATATATATATATATATATATATTAGTTAGATGATAAAACCATTAAATCTAAAGTTTTATTTGTTAATCAGTATTACTTAATTTGTCAATAGAATAGGATAAATTGGTCTATTTTTAAAAAATATTTATATATTAAAATAAAATTAAAATAATTATAATTTTATATATTATATTTTTTTATTATATAATTGAAATATATAAATATAATATAATATTATAATTTAAATCATAAATATTAATAAATTAAGTTTAAATTATTAAATATAGGTAAAAATACGCTTAAATGATTAAATATATAAACATGAATACAATCTTCGTTGACACCAACCATCAAAACATGCGTAACAATTCAAAATTCTGAAAAAACAAAGAGTTAACCTAAACATAGGTCAAAAATCTATTTGGACATAACAAGAAGTCACCAAGTCAAATGGTAAGGAACCGATCGAGGATAAATGTTAGGCGAAAATATATTAATGAAGTAATAGTTGAAGTCTTACCTCAAAGTTCTAGTTGAGAACTCATAGTTGAAGCCACATCTTAGAATCATCGAACAAACTCATAACAACATACACGAATAATCAAAATATGTGAAAAAGATAATGATTATCCATTTTATTCTAGGAATTGTGGAAATTCCTCTTCCAGCCAATTGAAAAATATAATGGTTTAACAGACCCAAAGGAGCATTTGACTATGTACAAAGCATAATTAAATTTGTATATAAACAATTAAGCAGTCTTATGATGCGTTCTTTCTTACGACATTACGTGGATCAAACCTACAATGGCAACAACATGCATGAGGCCATATTTATGACATAAACAAGTGTAAAATAGGGCAAGGATGAATCCCTTCACATTTTCATGGAGCGATTCGCAAATGTATCAAATTCCATATCGAATTTGAACCCGATTATTGCCCTATATGTAATATAAGTTGCTCTACATTCAGAGCCTTTAATAGATAGTTGTTTCTCTTTTCCACCATTATCCCTTGACAAGATGCATGCCCGAACAACTAATTATATTTGCATGGAGGATAATGTTAGGAACAAGACAATAATAAAGGAAAGAATAAAGGAGAGAAAAATAAACGACACAAGAATTTTAACGTGGTTCGGCTAAAATATGTATGCCTACGTCCACGACTACACTAGGAAGTATTTTTATTTCTGTGTGTATCTCAAACTTTACATAGGGTTGCTTATATAACAAAATAGAGAATCTCATCTCACAATCCTAATCGATGTGGGACTAAATCAAGCACCATAATACTAACAATTCTCCCACTTGGAGTTTGATTTACGTTACCACCTAGTGTAGTGCCTTCATCATCAATTTGCTCGAAGGCCAGTTGAGGCAATGCAAAGCCTCAACTTAGTTGTTGTAACAGTCTTGGTC